CCCGATTTCTTTCTGCTTTTGCACATGCAGTCTATTTGCTCAGTTGGATTCCAGCTATGTATAGAAAGAACAGCACACTAGGGAATGCGTGCACCTAACAGAGACCTGAAAGCTTCCATCCTTGCACTTTGATAATGGCAAATGATCTTAATGATCTTATGCTGCTTCATCTCAGGAAAGAATTAGTGAAAAGGAAAAAAAAAAAAAAACCGACAAACACCATCTTGCTTACTTTGTGCATAATTGATAATACCTCTCATTATTTTAAAATGCTGTTTTTATATTGTACTTGCTTCATATAGAAGACAGTGCTGAACTTTGCTGCTTTCCTTAATCTGCCATAAGCTTTTCTGTTGACACAGTAGGAATATGAGTTAACGGCTTGCTCAGATCAGAAATGTGTTGCAGTTTACAAAGATTATCTCCATGTGTTCTGCACTGTCCACAAAGCTTTGGGCTGTTCCTGCCGTAAGCCTGCTGCAATTATTGGAGACACATAAGGGATGGCACCACCAGCAGCTCAAGTAAAGGCTTTGATTCCACACTCTTCTCCGATATTTGGTCAGATGGTGTACTACATCATATTTCATTTTGTTTTAATAGCAAGTATTAAATGAATGAGTGTTTGTTCCATCCTTGTAATAATAAACGCTATACAATGACAGGTGTGACTGAATATATTTTAAACAACCATTCTAGAACCAGCATTTTTAGCACTTTAATTTGATTTCTCGAATTTGTTTCCTAAAGGTTCCCTCTTATCAGTCACTCTCAGGCCTGATATAGCCAGCCTTTCCTTAGAAAGTACAGTACAGAAAGTATTTCTGTTAATCAGTGTAATTTTTTTTTTCTTCTTTTTTTCCTATGACCACATTTTGTAAATGTTTCAGGTTTCTGGAGGATCACCTAGGGTCATTCTATTACCAGACATGATTATTATGTGTTGTGTAATTGGATGTGTAATTCTATACTGTAATTTTCTACAGAACAATTGTGAAAATATTAATAGCAACAAAAAGCAGATGGTTGGTTGATTCTATAATATTCAAGGATTATCCAAAAGTTGTAGCAGAACAGAGGACATCTGTAGGAATGCAGAGCATTCGGAAGTTTCTAGGGGATACTATATATTGATGATTTGAAGTAAAGCAATTGATTTCTGAAATCACTTAATGATCGTTTTATTTCTGGATAAAAAAAAAAAAAGCAATTGGTAAAGCTCAGTCATATCTGTAGTTGAAATGAAGACTTTTAATTATAATAATATCGATACTCTTAGAGTATGTAGAAAAGTAGTAGGATGAGGAAGGCAAGCTTGAGAACTGGGAGCAATAAGCAATGTTATTAGTGCTACAGTATTGTGGTATTAATATATACTATTGGATTAGTATAATCAATAACTTTACTACATTTGGTGTTAGAAGTTGTGGAGCACATTTTCATTAGGCAAATCCCAGACTTCAGCCTTGAAAACCCTCAGGAACTACCCTTATGTTCATAAACAAATACGCTCTCGTGTCTAGTGCTGTCACTCTGAGTAGCATAAGAGTTCTGCACTTGATTTAAATGAGTGTAGTTCCAGTAACTGTTGTGGTTTTTTTTGCTACAGTACAAGAACATTAACACATTTTTTTCTCTTTTTGAAGACTTCTTTCCAGTGCTAAATCACTTGTTAATAAATAGATTTTCAAAAGCCACTTTTTGTACATTGTACTGAACTATAGAAGCAAGAGCAGGATAGTTTAAAGATTTTTAAAGAAACATATTTCAGGCCCTTGTCATGCATTTGATGCATGACATTCTTTGGAATATAGAAGGCAGCAGGCATCTAGATAACTGAGGTAGGGGCCTTTGACCCTCACTTGGGGCTAGTTGCTTTTGCCTTCCCCATAGCTTAAGCCAGTGCACAGCTGTTAGGCAGCTTGCTGTCACTGCTGGTCTTCTGCCCTGATGGTGTTGCAGGGACATAGAAGTTGGCAGAGGTTCATCTACACTTCTCTGAGAATTAAAGTGGGCAGATGTAGCTCAGACCTCGTTTTGCCTAATCCATGCTTTCAAGCAGGTTTTATCCTGTGATGCTTGACGTCTCATTTTTTCAACTTAGAAGACAGTAGTAATGTCCATTTTCATTCAGAGAACATTTCTTTTTAAAATAGTGTTTTTAATTCATTTTCACCTGTGCAGTGCTGGGGGCTGTCTCCTAGCAGTGTGTAAGGAGTGGGCATGCAGAGGACAGCATGGGGACTTCTTGTACTCCCATCACCACCTACTGCTCTGGACAGACAGGAATGTAGCAGCTAGCAGTGGTCATTTAAAAGCAAGTACTTACTGGTTACTTATCCTGGTGCTGATGAGAGGTCTGAGAATAACACAGACCTCTTTCAGAAAGCAGACTGTTAATATTTCACTTTGTAGTCGTTATGAGATTTGCATACTTCATGGGAAAAAAAAACCTGTCTTTAACGCAGTGACTTCTCTAACATATACTAGATCTGAAATGACTGTTTAAAATTTAATTTTCTAAGATGCTATCTGATGTCTTGTAAGTGAGGCTTGCTGTAAATTGCAGATGCTTTTTCATGCTACTGTTGTAGGAATAGTTTCAGCACATTTGATTTGTGGTAGAACAGCAATTATTAATAACTCTACCGAATGGCTGGTATGTGTTGCATTGCATAATGTCCTGGTTTTAGCTGGCACAGAGTTGATTATTTTCTTTTGTTTTGTTTTGTTTTGTTTTGTTTGTTTGTTTTGTTTTTATTAATAGTGTTTGGTATGATGCTGTGTTTTGGCTTTAGGAGAAAAACAATGTTGATAACACCCAATGTGTTAGCTGTTGCTGAGTGGTGCTGTACAGAGACAAAGACATCTCAGTTTATCACCTCCTCACACTGTCCTGCTGGTGAGGAGTTAAAGAACCACAAGGAGCTGAGAGGAGATAGAACGAGAATCTATGACCTAACCTGGCCAAAGGGAGGGATGTAGAAGGACTGAGGATATTAGTTGGGGGGTGATAATGCAGAAGCAATTGCACGCTTGTTTTGTAAATATAAGAGGGCTACTCTGAAAGTAATGCTTCTTGGAATGTTTCTGTGGATGTGAGCACAGTGAGAGGTGGGTAGCATGTTTCAGCAGTGGTGACAGCAACATGAAAGGCAAGCCACAATCTGGATGGCCATGTGCAACGGTTATACCATGAAAAGAACTTCTTGATCTGCTCATCCAAGCATAATGGTTGATTATGATCAGGGAGCTGAATATCGACTTCAGTGCATTGGAAACAATGGTTACAGTGTTGGAGTATTGCAAAGTTTGCATCAGGTGGGTCCCAAAACTGCTGACTCAGGAAGAAGAAGAACGTGATAAGCAAGTTTGTCTGAATCTATTGAACCAATACAAGGCTGAAGATGATAGTTTCCAGAATTCCATACTTACTGGTGATGTGGTGTCCCTGCTACATGCCAGAGTAAAAATTGCAGTCCATGGAGTGGTGTCATGTGAATTCCACATCGAAAAAGAAGTTCAACATGTAGTCCTCATTGGGTAAAGTGATCTGCACGGTGTTGTGTGATAGAAAATGGGTGATCCTTCTGAATTTCCTGGAATGCAGACAAACTATCAATTCTGATCACTGCTTTGAGATGCTAGCTATTCTGAAAGCTAAACTTCCATAGTCAGACCAAAGAAGAAGACAAGCTTTATCCTGCAACACAATAACACCAGGCCCAGTACAAGTTTGAAGACCATGGAACACATTGCCAACTTTGGCTGGACTGTCCTGACACCCCCACTGTGTAGTCCAGATTTGATGCTTTCTGACTTCCACCTTTCTGGGCCAATGTATGACAGAGTGTATGGGCAGAATTTTCCTAGCAACAGTGCTTTCTTAATGTCTGTGAAACTGTGAGTCATCTTTGCTGGTGCAATTTTTGAGAGAGTGGCATGCAGGCTTTTGTTCATTACTAGTGAAAATGCATGCCTAATGGTGGTCACTGTGTTGAAAAATAATGTTTTGTAGCTGAGATTTTTTTTTCTACGAAATAGCATTAATTTACCTTTTGTATCAGTTATAATTCCCATGGAAATAAATAAGGAGGCATTACTTTTGGAGCAACCTACTTAGAGGGATTATTATCACTACTGTTATTATTTTTCTTTTCTCTTTCTTTTCTTTGTAAATAGTTCTTATCTAAACACATAAGTTCTACTTTGTTGGTGTTTTTTCAGGTTGTCTCCTCAATCTCACTAGGAGGGTGGAATCAGCAAATTCAACAAAGTCAGCAAAGTGCTGAGATTCCTGCTGTGTTAAACCCTAATGCTTGCTGATACTGATACGTTTAGGAAATGATAAGTAATGCAGTAAATGTTCTGTAGTTCACAAAGTGAAAATTTCCTACAACTGCCTTTTTTTCAAAAGCATTTTCACCAATGGAAATTTCTAGCTTTAAGATAAATAAATAAAAAAGCTTGTTCAAAGAAATATAATTTCATAATCATAAGGCAACATAATTGGACTTTTAAATGAACAACAACAAAAAAGTATGTGACACTAACATGGGGATAGGCGCAAACCCTGCCCAATCCTTAAATGCAGTGGACAATGGAAAAGGATTGAGAAGAATTCACTATTGAAATATTCATGGTTCATGCTGTGGTAAACGGCTAGAAAATTGAGCTGGTGCAGAAGCAATGGATTTTTGTTTTTGTTTTGTTTTGGGTTGTTTGTTTGGTTGTTTTTTTTTTTGCATCTGTTTGTTATCTAACTGCTTCTGGTTTTTTTTGTTGTTGTTGTTGTTGTTGTTTTTTGTTTTTCTTGCTAAAGATTTTAACTGTATACATGTGAAGGCATTTCATGCTTATAGATTATTAATAGCTTTTATGATGAAAAGGTTTAAGGGTTAATATTACATGTTTTTTACTTCATCTGAAAGACATTTTTTTAGTAAAATGTCCTCTCTCTCAGTTCCTTGAAATCTGACTCTTTTTTTGTTTGCTTGCAGCTACAGAGGCAGCAGGTTTGATTTGGCAAGTTGCTTGGAAAAGGAGTGGAGAAGTGTCCTGTAACCACTGAACAGTAAGTGCCTGTTTTACCTGCTATTTTAGCTGCAGAAGTAAGTAGGATACACAGATGGATTGGTATGAAACTTTTATAATACTAAGAAGATGCTGTCATTTCGTTCTCTGCATCTTGCACACATTTAAATCTAGCTATTTTGAAACTGAAATACATTTCAAAAAGGCCAGCAGATCTGTTTGATTGTATTTAGGAATTGAATTGTATGCAACATTGAAGTATACAGAGTAAATTATTGAAAGCTGAAAGTGAGAAGTAAGTTAAGTGGCATTCTGTTAAATTGATTTAGATACTAAGTAGTTTTAAATATTCAGCATAGAAAGTCTCTAGAATTAGAAGAAGCAGTTTGGATGTGCACATACAACTCTGCCCTTGGAAAGTAGGAACTAATTGAATAAAGATTTGCCTGTCATCTATACTTTCATGCTACTAAAAATGTCACTCTGTTTTGTACTGTAAATGACTGTCAGCTTTATTTGCAGTGTGCTTCTCTGTTAATTTAAGTGTTTTTTACATCATGTCAGATTTTTCATAGTACAAGTGTTAACTGCTTTCTGTTTCTTCCCAAGAGAAAATATCTGCAAAAGAAAGTGATGTATAATAATGAATCTTACTGGTTAGACCTGGTAACATGATGTGAGAAATTAAAGTAAAACATAAATAGCTGTGAAGCTTGAACTCATAAATGTTTAGACATATTTGCATTTGTATTAAGCACTAAAGCTGTTGCTAGAGATCAGTCGCATAAAAAAAATCATTAAATTCTGCACCCAGAATACAATACTTCTAAAATTGTTGCTACTTCAGCAAATTAGTTTAAAAACTGAATTTATGCTTTTTCTTAGAAATGAAAGTATGAAAGCATCTGAGAGAGAAGATCAGAATGATAGGTTGTTGGAGATATATTAGCTTAGGAATTATGGACGTTGCCTTAGTATGTTGTAATGCCATTTGTTTATATGTGTGTGTGCAGAGAAGGAGAATGCATTAGTATGTCCTTGATTTTGGGATAGACAGCAGGCTTAGAAAGCAAAGGAACAATGTTGCTTTTTATTGGAGTAGCTAGAAGGAGTGGGAATACTTTTTTTGTGAGGATGTAACCAGGATGTGGATTATAAGGGGACAAACCAATCTGCTGCTCATTGCTGCCAGATGAACGCCTCCCAGCTGTTTTCCTCTTTCCTTTGAGGTACCAAATTTGATACTTACTCATATCCTTGGGGAAGCAGCTCAGCACAATAACCAGAGAAAAACTAACCCAGCCAAAAAGCAGAGTGGTTTATTGTCCGCTAAGTGGGCTAGATTGAAGTGAGATGACAGAGAATTAGAAAGCCAGAGGAAGTGGACTGCATATTTCAGTAACCACTGGAGCTATGTTGGAGGAAATAATCTGTCTTGCCAACCCACAACCTTCCTCCATCTGTTCAGCTTAGAATCAATACCTTTTTTCTCTGAGGGACTGTAAACCTCTTGCCTGCCATTTCACTGGGCTTTGGGTGGAAGCAAATGTGAACTGCTGAATAATTAATATTGCCTTGATAGAAAACAAGGAAGGAACAGAGGAATTGAGGATGAATTGACACATCACACAAATTACATGGGTTGTATGTTGATAATGGATGATTGGATTTTTGAAATAAATATTACAAATTTTATGAACAACTGTAATAATATAGGCCATCTCCTGTGACTGGTAGCTGTACTGCTTGAGAAGTTACCTGAAAACAAAATGCCTTATGGATATAATTGCACTAAAGTTTTAAAAATCAGTGCCAAGGTTGGTTCAGTAGACAGTAGTCATTGAAATGTGAGAATGATACAAGTGAAAACAAAGCTTTTAATAAAACATTGGAAAGAATGGCAAAGAATATATGACTTCTAAGTGCTCCAACTAAATTTTTGGATTAAGATTACTAATGACCTTATTCTTAGAAGCAGAGATGCTGATCTTAGTTTAGCAGTACAAATCCTGCCTAGTCCAGCTGGATCAGGAGACTTGCTTCCTAATGATTTTTCTACACATTTGAACTAACCATTTCATTATTAAAGATCTTAAGAGAAGAGATGGAAAAGAATCCCCATGTTGTTGGTCTCTAGAATGTTTTCTCCTCTATTTTCAGAAAGAATTTTTTTTTTTTTTTTTTTTTTTTTCAGAACAGAAGCAACACATTTGAATGTGCATGTGTCAGGGGTAAAGCAAGATTACTTTGACGCTGACTGTTCAGGACAGTGTCTATGAGAAGGTTTGTGATTTTTGATAGTGTTAAGTCAGAGGGGAAAAAAAAATAAGAAAACATGAGAAAAGACAAATGCTTTGTTTTGATGGTCTGTATGTATATGAAGAGTGGGAGTATACTGACACTACTACCATGTAACTGTCACTCTGCTTATTTAAGAACTTGTTACTCTGTGTAGTTTCTGGTTGGTATTATTTTGGCATGAACATTTTTGATACATTGGATTTTCTGTTTGCATGTAGAAATGGAGTTACAACTGCCTCATAAAATGTTTCCTTTCTATTGTTTATTTTGGCGCATACCAAAGGATTGATGCCTTGTGAGCTCTATCTTAACACTGGCATATGTAGTCCGCTCCTCTGGGGTCCCATTTTCTCTCTCCTTGGTGAAAATGCAGTACAAATTAATTTCAGCCCACATAAATAAAAGTAGTGAAGGATAAAAGGTTGAAAATAATAACAATGGTAAACCTACAAGATTTTTTTGTTTAGCTGTATAATATCTCTTTGGCAAAAGTTACAAATTGACAGGATTAGTTCTCTCTCACATATGAAAAAAAGCTAAAAGGCACATGGAAACCAAATAGAATATATGCTATAAAAAAGCATGTCTAGAAAACATGACAGATCTAATATTATTGAGATGGATCAGTACTTTGCATCTATTTTTATTGAATAGCTAAAGTGAATGAATTTCTGCTTTGAATAGCATATTCAAGTGATTTACTACCCACATATACATTTAGTTAATGTTATAGTATGTACAGTATATATCTATCCTTTAACAACTGAGAACTTTTAAAAGGACATTTATGTAACAAATGCCCTCATTCATGCATTAAAACTCCCTTATCCTTGTAGTAGGCCAGGTTTCTCAGGCATTTGTTTAAATACATGCTGAAATAAACAGGGTTGAGCTCTGTCTTGCGATAATGCATTGATATGTCCTTGACCTTTTTGACATTGGCAGATGTCACTGATTGGCAACATCTTTGGTATAGCGCAGATACGTTCAAACAAGGTTTGGTAAAATGAGCTTATGTGTATTGCTGCAGTGTTATTGTTCTGAGCACAGTATGGATATCCATTTCTGGTTTCCTGGGTGTGTTATGCAGCCCAAGCTGACTGCTTTGCTGTCAGAGCTCAAGAGCTGCTGTTCACAAGTAGTAAGTAACTGCTCTTAAATGTATTCTGCATTTTCAGACTGAAAAACTCATAGAAATGTAAACACCCAGGAAGCAGATAACTGGTTAACATCTTGAGCTTCTGTTCACTTTTTTCCCCTCCTTTCTTTTTTGTTATTCATTTCAACCATTTCTTGTAATTTTAGACAGTAAATAGAAATTTGGATTTTGAATGATAAGACCTCAAAATAACCAAGTAAGACATATTTTAATAAGTGAAAGCCTGGATTTTGTACTAACAAACACAATTAACTTATGAAAACATATGCAGAAGCTAACACTGAAGATCGATGAATAAATCTCATTTAAATCCTTTTCCCAAATGGAATCCAAGAGTAATGTTTAAAATGTAATCTGATACTGAACTCCTTTTTATTATTTCATCTCCATCAATTTAATTAACTGTGCAAAAGAATATCTGTATTCATAAGAGGTTGTAGGAAGTTTTAGGTAAATTGTTATGAAGGCTAATGTAATGCTTACATTATAAATTTGTAATATAAAACTTAAAACTTAACATTTTCTAAACTATGTATTTTATAATAGGCTCTCTAGAAAGAAAAAAGATATTAGACTCTTAGGAAAAGTTGAATGGATGATTGTCGTTCTATGCTCTCTATTTTTAAGTAAAACATTGTAAAATATGTAGGTTGCTCTGAAAGTAATGCCTCCTATTTATTTCCATGGAAACTATGATAGATTAAAAAAAAGCACAGAAACTTTATCTGATAGTGCTAATTCTCAGCTCTAAGACATTATTTTTCAAAATAATCACCACCAAAGTATGCATTTTCACCAGCAATGAACAAGAGCCTACATGTTACAATCATAAAAATCTGCACTAGCAGAGACGATCCACTGTTGCTGCCACCGGTTCTGAAATGTGCTAACCCACTTCACTGTGCTCACATCCACTCTTCAATCTCCACATACATTCAGTAAGTATCAATGAATGTCAGTGGGGGCAATTTTTTCTACATGAAGGCATCTGGTGACACACCTTTTCTTCATACACATTTCCAAGTCAGACATCATTCCGTTCAGAGGTTCAGCCTCTGCTGCTGTACCACCAACATCCAACTCCAATGTCACAGACAAACATAACAAAACAGGAAGCATTACCTTTGGAGCAGATCTCATAAAATTAATCTGTTCAGTCATCGGGGTTGATTTAGAACTATTATTTTCTTAGAGAGTTTTAGTCTTCATTGTTGTTAGCTTTAGATTAAGCACTGAGTGTGACATTCTTTACTGAATACTTGCGCTGTTATATGTATAAGTATCTTTTTAGGAGTCTATTTACCTTTTAATGCATAAGAAATCTCTGTTAATACAATAATCACATAAGAACCCTTTGCTTTCATGCAAAGGGTATGCATGAGTGCTTAATACTAGTCAGTGCTGCTTAAATCTGGCATATGTGTCCTCTACAGAGTCTGCTTAGTCTCAATAAATGTGTAATTCCAGAAATATAGTACTAATTTTTGTTTGAAAATTGTGAAAATATTACATTAGAAATACATGATGATGTTTATGAAGTGAGGGAAAAAAAAAAAAAAAAGCAGCTTTTTCCTTCCACT